TTCCCTCACAATTCTGAGTTTATATATCACAAATCAAACTCACAATTCTGCATTCAGAATTGCAAGATATAAACGTAGCATTGCAAGATATAAATGCAAAATTGCAACATATAAACGCAGAATTGCAAGATTTAAACAGAGTTGTGAGATATAAAGACAGAATTGTGAGATATGTAGTGTATATATTTTACTGATGTTACACCATTTGACATTTTAAACTCATTAAACATTTTTTTTTTGTGCATGTGTGTGTGAATCCAACATTAATATAAAAATTACATTGTTTCAAGGATAAAAATTTTTTGGCACATCTTAATTTAATATATATATATATTATTTCCACTACAGGATGAAACAAGGGTAACTGTGACTTTTTATTTCATAATTCAGAATTTTTCCCTCACAATTCTGAGTTTATATATCACAAATCAAACTCACAATTCTGCATTCAGAATTGCAAGATATAAACGTAGCATTGCAAGATATAAATGCAAAATTGCAACATATAAACGCAGAATTGCAAGATTTAAACAGAGTTGTGAGATATAAAGACAGAATTGTGAGATATGTAGTGTATATATTTTACTGATGTTACACCATTTGACATTTTAAACTCATTAAACATTTTTTTTTTGTGCATGTGTGTGTGTGAATCCAACATTAATATAAAAATTACATTGTTTCAAGGATAAAATTTTTTTGGCACATCATAAACTAGATTTTTTTTCCCACTCTTATTCATCATCTGAGGCATCCTTACTTATCATTGACCCTATAATAGTTGTTTGTCCAAGGTGGGTGGTGCATCAGCAGGTGTTCATTTACGGTCCATGCACCACAGAGATGACCGTAATAAATCTATTAGCCACCCATTGTATAGTGCATGTGTCCAGAGCAGCGTCTAAAGAGCAGCCATGTGGGGCTCCCTGAGGCCTAAACATAATAGTGTGTTTCAGTCTTATCTGAGCCTAGCAGAATCTGTGACCCAGATCAGACTGCCTGTGAGCATCCTCCTTCACACCTGCTGAGAGCCCAAAACACAGTGCTGACATTCACTCTTTTGAGGTGTTGATGAAGAACTTGCACAAATGAATCTATTTATTCTGATAAATTTAGAAGAACTAGGAATTCCCACAATGAAAGGATACCGTATAGGTCTATGACTTGCAGATTTTATTTAATTTTTTTTAATTATTTGTATCTAGTAAGGCATTAAAATATTATAAAAAATACAATTAATACAGACAATGAATTATATGAATGAAAACATATCTTCTACACATTCAGTGAAATGTACAAAAAAAATATATAAATGAAATATCATATTTAATGATTTATTAATTATTTTTAATGGTGATTTATATATACATTTTGAATCACAGAGTTAAGTACAATTATTAATTCATATATATATATATATATATATATATTGCATATACAGTGCTGTAAAAAGGTTTTTGACCCCTTCCTGTTTTTTTTTTATTTTTTATTAATTTTAATATTACACAAAGATAACCCAAGTAAATACAAAATGCAGTTTTGAAATACTGATTTCATTTATTAAGGGAAAAAAGCTGTCCAAACCTGCCTGGCTCTACGTGAAAAAGTAATTTCCCCCTAAATCTAATAACTGGTTGGGCCACCCCTTGGAAAACTGGAATCAAGCGTTTGCGATAACTGCAATGAATCTTTCACATCGCTGTGGAGGAATTTTGGCCCACTCTTTTTTACAGAATTGTTTTAATTCATTTTCGAGCATGAATGGACTGTTTAAGGTCATGCCACAGCATCTCAATTGGATTTAAATCTGGACTTTGACTTGGCCACTCCAAAACCCTCATTTTGTTTTTCTTGAGCCATTCAGAGGTGGACTTGCTGGTGTGTTTGGGATCATTGTCCTGCTGCATAACCCAAGTGCGCTTGAGCTTCAGGTCACAAACTGACGGCCGGACATTCTCCTTCAGGATTTTCTGATTGAGTGCATAATTCATGGTTTCATCAATTATGGCAAGTCGTACAGGTCCTGAAGCTGCAAAGCAGCCCCAGACCATCACACTACCACCACCATGTTTGACTGTTGGTATGATGTTCTTTTTATGAAATGCTGTGTTGGGTTTTATGCCAGATGTAACGGGACACACACCTTCCAAAATCAGTCCACAGAATATTTGCCCAAAAGTCTTGGGGATAATCAAGATATTTTT